GAACACTATACAGAAGCCTGATGATGGCAGATGAGATTCTGCCGAAATGTTGCTACAACTTTAAAAGCATAACTATAATGATGTGGGAAAATACCCGAACAAAGCTGAATACCATACATACATACATAAATACGTATATGTATATGTATGTATATATATGTGTATATATGTATGTAGGTCTAGGTGTGTTTGGGTCTTTTCCCATGTAAGATTAAGAGTATCTTGGCGATGTTTCAGTGAGTCCCACTCTCCATCCTCAGGCTGGTGCTTTCGGCTTCGTGCCAGTGCAAGCAAAACATATATATATATATATATATATTCTTAAGTTTTCATGGGTATTTATATGTATGGTATTCAGCTTTGTTCGGGTATTTTCCCACGTCATTATAGTTGTGCTTTTAAAGTTGTAGCAACGTTTCGGCAGAATCTCATCTGCTATCATCAGGCTTCTGTATAGTGTTCGTCTGTGAGTCAGACTGTCACAGCCGTTTCTGTTTTAAATTTGGTGCTAGCCTACTGCTGTGCCAGAATGGTTTTTTCTTCATCCTGATTGGTTGGGAGTCTTGGTCTGTGTTTATTGGTCTTGGAGTTTGCTGTGTTCTGCTTGATTGGTGTTTCTAGTATCTTCTGTCTGTTTTGTAGCTTTTTTTGTCTTGATTGGCTGGAAACATTGTGCTTTAGTGCGGCTTGGCTCCGAGTAAACAGATGGCTATCATTTATTAGGAAGCTAGGTTTCATCTGGGTGCCTGGTTGGGGTGTGTTTGAGCTGGAGGTATCAAGGGGGGGTCTGTTTGTGCCAGGTGTTTGCCTGGCTTGTGGTGTGGAGATTTTTTTGTTTGTGAGTGCAGGCTTCCAAATAATTGACAGTCTGGTGGAATCATCTCTTCTATTCATGCTTTCAGGTCTTTTTTCAATCTCTATGGCTTCTCTGATAATTCTGTACCTAGGGTTTTCTATAGTGGTTAGGGTTTTGGTGCCATTGAAGTCCATGCTATGACCTGTGGCTTTCATGTGTTGGACTAGTGAAGAAGTGTGTTCCAGCTTTTTTACTGAATGTTTGTGTTCATCTAGGCAGGTACTTATTCTTCTATTGGTCTGTCCAATGTATGTGGCAGGGCATGATGCACAGGGGACTTCATATATGCCTTGGTTTTCCAGGTCAATTTTATCGTTGGTGTTTCTTAGGATGGCTGCTATTTTTCTGTCTGTTTTGAAGGCAGTCTTGATGTGATGCCTGTGTAGTATCTTACTGATTTTGTCTGTAGTACCTCTTATGTAGGGCAGGACAGCTGTTCCATAGATCTGTTCATCTTCTAGGTCTCCATTATGTCTCAGTGTGTTTTTGTGGATCAAGCCAGTGATTTTGCTTTTGTGGAAGCTGTTGGTTGTCAGTACTTTAGTCAGGGTGCATAGTTCAGTCTTTATGTGTGTCTTCTCTGCCAGGCATTTGGTTCTGGCAATTAGTGTTTTGGCCATGGAGTTTATCTGTGCTGGGTGGTGGTGGGATTGGGTGTTGAGGTAGTGGTTGGTTTGTGTTTTCTTCTGGTATATGGTGTGTCCTAGTGTGCCATCTGTTTTTTTGTAGATTAGTACATCTAGGAATGGTAGTTGTTTGTTTGTTTCCATTTCCATGGTGAATTTGATTTTGGGGTGTGTGCTGTTTAGGTGTGTTAGGAAATTGTTTAGGTTTTCTTTTCCATGGGGCCAAATAACAAATATGTCATCGATGTATCTTAACCATAGTTTGGGTTTGTGAGTGGCATTTGCCAGGGCTCTGGATTCAAATTCTTCCATGAACAGGTTTCCAATGACGGGTGACAGTGGTGATCCCATAGGGACTCCTTCAATTTGCTTGTATCTTTGTCCTTTGTATATGAAAGCACAACTATAATGACATGGGAAAATACTCGAACAAAGCTGAATACCATACATACATACATACATATATTTATATATATATAACAACTTACTGCAAGTCAGCTAGGTGTCAAAAGAACCTTAACGCCGTGCAACAGGAAGAAGGGAGGAGGAAATTGTCTAAAATGTCTTCAACAAGACATTTGAGTGCTTTGCGTATGTGTGTGGAATCAAATATGGGAGATTAATGGACATCCAACAAATTTGGATTGTGGGTGGCTATATGTGTTTTGCACAATGGGACACACTGGACTGAGGTGAAGTTCTAATAAAAATGTGATTAGTAGTGAAGTGTGTTATTGTAAGAATCATGAAGCAAATAATAGAACTGGACTGCCCCAGAAGGGATGCATAGGGTATGTGAAAAATATGCCTATACTAGCCTCCCCACTGGGTGGTTTGGACCCTTCATAAAGCCAATCTTTCATTAGAGCAACACAGGGGAATCCCTATCGAAGGAGTGAATTCAGGCTTGTAAAGCAAAGAGCCCTTGACTCCTTAGATACCAAACATAGTGATGCCCCGGATGCTTGGAACTCCAGAAGGGCCTCCACGTAGGTGGAGGACAGCACTTTGGGAGCTAATGGACATACAATTAAATTTGACTACATACTGTGGTAGAAACCCCCTTAAAAGAGGTGACTGCAGTCTTGAGAACCTTAGCTAAAAGAATGTGTGGAAAATAACATTGTGCAAAACCAGCTAGCCCTAAAAAATTTTTTGGAGCATAGCAAATTGGTTGGTGAAAGGTTCAACAAAGTCTGCTGTATTAGGATTGTGGGTTCTAATGTTCTCTCCTGTTTGATTTCCTTTATAAGATATGTGGTACTATCAAAGTTTAAAAGAATCAAAAGTAATAAAAGGAATTAGGTTATCTCCTTTTGAAATGATGTTTAGAAGACCCCCTATTATAAGTACTAGTTTGAGAAATAATATAGGGGATTTAAGTCAATTAGGGCAGTGGCCCCCAACCTTTTTTGTGCCACGGCCCGGTACCGGCATCACAAAATGATCCGTGGCCCGGTACTGGCATCAGCACGCATGAGAAGGCAAGGTGAGCCGAGCGACCGGCCAGCCAAAGTGGGGAATAAGGCAAAACATGAAAGAATAAATGTATTGTTTTTAGGGAGATATTAACATGACTCTGCTTGATAGTGAAATGAGTGAAATACATAAAAAATGCCAGATCAAAGGGTCATTAACCCACATTTGTCAAGCAGGAATGTTGTCTCGCTTGCAGCAAAAACCACAATGGAGCTATAGGAAGCTAGTAGGTTTAGTAAAGTGAGTTAGAAAGGAATTTGTGAAATCCGGCTACTTTCGCCCAGCAACAGGGGAGGCGGGTAGCTGGAATTTGAAGTAACCAATGAAATGCTGACAAGTCATATTTCTCTGGTGTAGTACTTCTGAAATGTATAAATGTGGTGTCAAATCTATAGAAAGGTGTTCAGATGTGCCTTGGCATTGAAATTACAAGAGGCAACTGTAAGACTTGTGAACTTCAACTCCTAGAATTCTCCAGCCAGCTGCCAAGTTTGAGGACCCCTGGTTTAAGCAGAAAGAGGTTCCAGCTGAAAATATACCATGAATAGCATAGAGATGCATGGTACCTACCTTCCTTCCTTCCTTCCTTCCTTCCTTCCTTCCTTCCTTCCTTCCTTCCTTCCTTCCTTCCTTCCTCTTAAAAGGAAGAAGAAAAAGAAAGAGGGAGGGATGGGAGAAAGAAAGAGAGGGAGGGAAGGGACAAAAGTTGGGAAGGCAAAGGAATGTGAATGAGATGGACGTTGGATAGAGGGAGGGACGGACGGAAAAAAAAGGAGAGGAAGGAAGGACCACAAACCCTGGCACTAGATGGAGCTTCAGAGGATGCTTTGAAATAGCACAGCAATCCAGAGCTGGAAGGGACCTCAGAAGTCATCTAGTCCAACCCCGCTCCAAAAGCATTGTTAAAGTGAGTTTCTATCTTTTGACCCACCCAGTCATGTGACCAACAAGCCACACCCAGCCAGTCATATAACCACCAAGCGACACCCAGCCAACAAGCCCTGCCCACCCAGTCACATGACCACCAAGCCACATCCACAAATTAGGCCATGCCCACAGAACTGGTTGTTAAGAAATTTGAATCCCCACTCTCTGCTGATTGGTCTGTAGTTTCCTGGGTCTGTTTTTTTTTCCCCCCTTTTTTGAAGATGGGAACCACATCAGCTCTTTATCAATCCTCTGGTAGTTCTCTGGTGCTCCAGGATTTTTAAAAGATGTGGTACAGATGACTGGTAAGAATATAAATCCTTTGATTCCCCACCAGTCAGTTAGAACTAAAGAAGTTTCTTGGATGATAAAATGTTTTCAAAGGAAAAAAACCAAATCTAGTTGTCTTTGGGAAAAAGCATCTTTGGGACAATCTTGGAAACCAATCATAAAAAGCAACATCATGCATACATTTTTATTAGTCATTGTAACCTAATTCAAGTAAAGTTACAAGATGTGCTATCAATAACATAATACACTAAAAGCTTGGTACCTAGTCTCATCAATCCCCTTGGTGAGTAGGTATTGCAAGGGAAGAAAACAGGTGGCCTGGTTTTCATCTATTACTATGGCCTAAATAGCAAATCAACCAATGATCAAGGCACTTCCAATAGGAAAAAGCAATCTAGTTATTTCTATGTGCTAAACAAAAACAATATATGATTAAAAATGGGTTATCAATCCATGAATAAAATATTAATTAAACTAAGCTAAAATGGGTTGTCTCATCACACCTGAATGAAACTTTGTTTATTTGTTTATGTATTTGTATCCCACCTTTATTATTTTTACAATAACTCAAGGTGGTGAACATATTTAATACTCTTTCCTTATACTTTCCTCACAATGAAGATTTTCCTGAATGGAAATTGCTTTTGTTAGAAAGGATTAGAAATTCCGTTTGGAAGGGATAGTATGATAATAGCAGTACATAAAAAAAACAGCATTGAAAGCCAACAGACATGATATTTGGAATATTCAGAATACATTTGTTCTTGCGCTGGAAGTTTTGGGCTACAATTTTGCAGACAGTTGTCATTGAATAGCTTAGAATTATAAAATCATAAGGCTGGAAAGAACCTTGGAGATCTTCAAGTCCAACCCCTGCCAAGGCAGGAGACTATATTGCATCATAGACAATTCTAAATGACTGTCCAATCTTTTTTTGAAAACCTTGAAGCTTGACCCTATAGAAATACCATTACCTAAATATTTAAAACCAAGCCAAGAATTTATTTCATATGGCTGTAATTTAGAATATCTCTTGGAGATCTTCATAGTAGCAAAAAAACTAGAGCTAAGCAACAATTAATAGACTAGGAGACATAGACAGACATGGAAAGATGTGTGCAAAATAACAATCTATCCTGCCTTCTACAAAGCTTGAAGCAAAAAGCATCTCTGGTCCAAAATCCTCTTGGCACATTAAAATATAGATTCCAGGTTGTAGATCAGCAAATGTAAATCTTCTGTATAGAACTTCTGATCAAGATTCAGCATGGATTGGTTTCACTCACAGCCACAGCCCATTCTCTGTCTGCAGGATTTGCTCTGGCTTGCGCCATACAGATCTCATCCAACTGCACCACAAACCTAAACAGTGTTAGTGCCAGGGCTACCTTTATCTTTGCCATGGCAAAGTTCTGCCCAATGCAGTTTCTGCAAAGAAGAAAGATTCCAGCTCAGTGGCTAAGTGGCTGACTTTTCTTTTTGTGATGCTCATTGGACAAATATAGCTTCATGAAGACTTTTTTTTTTATTAGAGACTAAACTGGCCACTGTGCTGAAGCATGTATTGTTTCATGTTCCTTGTCCCAAGAGCCATTAAGAATGTCACATGGATATCCTCCAATATCCTTCTCTTCTTTTTCTTAACAGTTATTTTATCTCCAGCTATATGTTTGCTTACCTGGGTCCTGCAGTAAATGGCACAAAAGCTAGTGGTTGATGTGTTGAATCAAAGCTATATGGGTTATACACCTTTGAAAGATAAACAGATTGGATGATTGGGTTGAATGAGAAGATGTAAACATAAGAAGGAACTGATTAATCGACACCAAATGTTTCATTTGTCACATGCCATATTGTCCAAATATAAGATGTTGGGACACAATTGTTCACATAGGAATAGGAGTTGGTAATGAGGACCTGGAAGATCAGCTCTGCCAACTGATTATCTAAGAATGTGGGTTAGTAAAAGATTCTGATACAAACAGGAAGTCCAGCACTTGACTCTCTGAAACTTAAATCATAGAATCATAGGACTGGAAAGGAACTTGGAGGTCTTATACAAATGGACAAATGGTTGTCCTGTCTTGAATACCTCCAGTGATGGAACACCCACAACTCTGGAAGGCAAGTTAATCAATTTTTGATTAATTAGTAATTATTTTCACTGTGAGGAAATTTCTCTTTAGTTCTAGGTTGGATCTCTTTTTAAACAGCTGCAATACATTGCTTCTTGTCCTGCCCTCATGTGCTTTTGAGAATAAGTCAACCCCCTCTTCTCTGTGACAGCCCCTCAAATACTGAACAACAGCTATCATTCATCCTTAATCTTTGATAGGCTAGACATACCTAGCTCTCTTAACTATTCATTCTACAGTTTAGTCTCCAGACCTCTTTATCATTTTGTTGCTCTACTCTGCATACTTTCTACTGTCTCAGCATCTTGTTTTTGAAGATGCCTCTGCAGACCTAGATGAGCTCACAGATACTGTAACATCATATGTCAGCTTCTGCGAAGACTTATGTGTACCAACAAGGAGCCTGCGAATATATAGTAACAATAAACCTTGGTTCACAGCTAAACTTAAGCAGCTACTTAGTTCCAAAGAGGAAGCCCACAGAAAAGGTGACAGAATGCTATACAATCAGGCCAGAAACGTATTAGCAAGAAAGATCAGAACAGCAAAAATTAAAGTTTGATTTTGTTCTTCAAAGCCTCTGCTTAAGTTCATTTTTGGCACATTGTGATCTTAAGTTATTAGTCAGACTTTATAAGGATTAGTCAAGCTCTCTGTCAACTACCTTTCCCCCCAATCTGTATGATTCTTTACAAAGATTAGGAGATCTTTTTTAACACACAGCAAATCACCTAATATTGTCTGTTTATACTAAAATGATTCTTTTCCTTTAAGAGCCTCTGACAAGGCTTATACAAAGTTTTGCTTTAAGTACAAAAGTTCAAGACAAAGTACAACAGCTGCTATGGTGTTTCAAAACAAAAGTAAAGAATGCCTTTATCTTGCACAATGCTACAAACTATCACTAACAGTAACATTAGAAGAAGCACTGATCAATAAAGTAATCAAATGGTATCTCACGCTGGTCTCTAATACTACATATCCTTCAAATATATTTTAGAATGGATATGAAATTGCCTCAGCCTGGCAATTTAGGAATGGAAGAAACCTCCAGGTTCTTCAATCAGAACAGACAGCATTTATAGGAAAGGATAAGCCAATTCTTGTCATCATAGAGATCTTGGTGCACAGGCCTTTCAACAGCAAAAAACAGCCAATCAATCAAACAAACAAACAATGGATGTTCTTCATGAACTTTTCTGAAAAACAGAAATAAGAAATTCAGGAAACCAACGTGGTTGCACAAAGATCTCCCTGATAAACTGAAAGATAAAAAGGTCAAGTACAAAAATTGGAAAGAGGGACACATAAGCAAGGCAGAATATCAGCAGATAGCCCGAATCTGCAAAGATGAAGTTAGGAAAGCAAAGTTTCAGAATGAAAATTTGCAACAAAAGTCGAAGATAATTAAAAAAAAATTCTTTCAACATATAAATAAACAAGATAAAAGTTCATTAAAGAGAAGATGTCAGGGAAGTAACAAGTAGTAGAAAGAAAGCAGAGCTGCTTAACTCATTCTTTGCATCAGTCTTCACACAAAAAGAAACTATAGTCCAACCTACCAAAAACATAACTGTAAAAGACAGACTAGAAATAAAAATGAAAATAAGCAAGAAAATGGTAAAAGAGCAATGATAAAATCCCAGAGTTCTGAATGAGCTGGCAGGTGTTATCTCAAAACCATTGTATCATATCTTTAAAAAATCTTGGAGCACTGGGGAACTACCAGAGGATTGGAAAACAGCTGACGTGGTTCCCATCTTCAAAGAATGGGGGAGAAAAAAAACAGATCCAGGAAACTACAGACCAACCAGTCTAACATCAATACCCGGGAATATACTGGAAAAGATAATAAGAAAAGAGATCTGCCAAAACCTAGAAATGAGTAAAGTAATAACTAGCAGTCAGCATGGGTTTGTTAAAAACAGATCATGCCAAACTAATCTTATTTCGTTCTTTAACATAGTCACTAAATTAGTAGACCAGAGAAATACTGTAGACACAATATACTTAGACTTCAGCAAGCATTTGACAAAGTAGACCACAACCTAATTCTTGGTAAGCTAGAAAAATGTGGAATAGAGTAGACAACATCACCACCAGATGGATTTGTAACTGGCTGACAAACTGTACTCAACAAAGATATAAATACAGATTAGGCAAAACCTGGCTTAATAGCAGTAACTGTGAAAGGGACCTTGGAGTCCTAGTAGTCTTAAACATGAGTCTTAAATATGAATCAGCAGTGTAAGGCAGCAGCCCAAAAAGCTAATACAATCCTTGGTTGTATAAACCAAGGCATAGAATCAAAATCACACGAAGTATTAGTACCAGAGGTGGTATTCAGCCAGTTCTGACAGGTTTTGGAGAACCGGTAGCAGAAATTTTGAGTAGTTCAGAGAACCGGTAAATACCACCTATGGTTGGCCCCACCCCCATCTATTCACTGCCACCTGAGTCCCAGCTGATTGTTGGGTCTTCTTTTGTTGCCCTGCACAGGAGAATAGAGCTGGAAAGCAGGTTAGTGGGGTGGGGAGGGAGTGGGGATTTTGCAGTATCCTTCCCCTGCCACACCCACCAAGCCATGCCCACCAAGCCACACCATGCCCACCAAGCCACACCATGCCCACCAAGCCACCCCTACCAAGCCACACCACACCCACAGAACCGGGAGTAAAAAAAAAATCAATACCACCGCTGTTTAGTACCGCTTTATAAATCCTTAGTAGGACCACCCCTGGAATACTGCATCCAGTTTTGGACACCACATTACAAAAGACATGTTATGACTTTGGAAAAAGGGCAAAGAGCCACTAAGATGATTAAAGTCCTGAAGACTAAAACATATGAAGAACGGTTGCAGGATTTGGGTTTGAATAGTCTAGAGAAAAGAAGGATTGGGGGGAAATGTATTATTTCAGTGTTTGAGAGGCTGCCACACAGAGGAGGGGGTCAATTTATTTTCCAAAGCACCAGAGGGCAGGACAAGAAACAATGGATGGAAATTAATCAAGAAGAGAAGCAACTTGGAAATAGGGAGAAACTTCCCAACAGAGAGGACAATTAACCAGTGGAACAGCTTGCCTTCAGAAGTTGTGGGTGCTTCATCACTGGAGGTTTTTAAGAAAAGACTAGAGTAGTGATGATTAACCTTTTTGTCATCGCATGCCAAAAGTGCGCATGTGCGCACGTGTACCAGCACCCATATTGCAATGCATGCAGGACACCCCATACTCCCCTTACCCCCTGAGCGTCTCCCACATGCACCCCACCCTCCGTGCATGCTCAGCAGATACCCGAAAATCAGCTGGCTGGTGGGACGCATGCACACATGTGCAGTGGAACTGAGCTGAGGTGACAGCTTGCATGCCCACAGAGATGACTCTGTGTGCCACTTCCAACATGTGTGCAATAGGTTCACCATCATGGGACTTGAGACAGTCACTTGTCTGAAATGGTACTATAGGATCTCCTGCTTGAGCAGGGTGCTGAACTAAAAGACCTCCAAGGTCCCTTCCAGCTTTATTCTGATTCTGTCTGAACCTTCATCAGACATCACTTGAGAATGATGTCATTGAAAGGACATATTGATGTGAATCAATATAACCTTTGCTCTTTGCTTCTGTTAAAGAAGTTGCTTGTACTATTTTGCTAAGGATGGGAATCATTTGTTAGGAATTCATTCTTCAAGAGAATTGTATCATTTTCTATCTGGTTTCTCGCCTCTGCAATTTGCTTCAGAGCTAGACACATCCTTGGAGACAATTCTTAGGAACATCCTGCTCCATAGATGGGGGGGGGGGCTGCCTAGGAGCATGAACACACAAGGACAAAGTATACTGTGTAAAATAACAAAGTATGGACATAGCCCCGACAAAGAATACTCCATGGATAAGGAAGGGGAGGGCATAGACAAGACATTGCCCACATTAATAAGGAACCTTTGTCTCTGATTGGATAAACTTTGTTTCTATCAGAGTAAAATATATATAATACTCTGAGCCACTCTTGCAGGGTGTGGCTATTTCTTACATGCATTTTGTCTGTATGTTTTGGACATAGTATTCACCCAGACTTTTTGCTTTGGTCAAAGAATAAAACAAGCTATTTTTGCAACCTCATCTGGAGTCTCACTCTTTGGAATTTCAGTGGCTCAGGGAAACTTCTGGGACCTTACATCATCTTGCAATTTTGATTGAATACTTATAAAATGTATGTTTTTTCTACTCTGCGTTGTAGGAAGTTAGCCCCCACCTCTCTCCTAGAAGAATGAAATATTAAAAAGGCATAATATTATATTTCCCTGGATGAGAAATGGAGAAACATGTTTTTTTAAGCAGGAAGCAGACTCTCTCTTAATAGCCCCCACCCTCCTCAATAGCCCACAGCAGATGTCAGCACTTAAGAGATAAAGAGATGGCTAGGTCTATTCATAAAAAATGCCCTCACTCAAGATCCTTCATGGCAAAGCCTAATGGCCATAATAGGAATTGCCCAAAGCCCCTTCATTACATCACCCAGCAAATTCAACCAGGCTTGGGACTCAAGAAGACAACCTACAAAGTTACCCCTGCATGGCACCATGGGAGTCTGACAACCAATCAGGAGACATTTCTTGCCACAGGAACAGGAAGCAAGTTCAAACAGAGGTTATAAATCTCACTCCCTCTCTCACCCATGTG